CCCAACCCCTCTAAACAAACCCCAACCCCGAATAACCAACCCCACTAACACCAATACCAACACCAACACCAACCCCAATAAACAAACCCCAACCCGAATAACCAACCCCACTAACACCAACACCAACCCCGATAAACAAACCCCACCAACACCATCCCCGATTAACAAACCCCAACCCGAATAACCAACCCCACTAACTCCAACACCAACCCCGATAAACAAACCTCAACCCTACTAACACCAACACCAAAACCAACACAAACGCAAGATAAACAAACCCCAACCCCGAATAACCAACACCAACCCTGATAAACCAACCAAAACCCCGAATAACCAACCGCATTAACACCAACACCAACACCAATTCCGATAAACAAACCCCGACTCAAACCCATCCCCTTTTCTAACCCTAGCCCAAACCCTGCAAACCATAACCCCACAAATCTAAGCCCAACTTTTATCAAAACCCTAACCCCAATCCCATAAACCCCGTCTACAACTCCTTTCATGACACCAACCATAACCATAAACCGACTAACGCCAAACACCATCTCCCGACCATAAACCCATCAACTTCAATACTAAATATAATTCATAATTTTTACAAATAAAAAATAAATTTTAATTATTCTATTATATTAATTTTATATTTTTTTAAATTTTTTATTAATTCTGATATATATTTATTATTGTTAATTTAACCTATTATGTATTTTTTATGCTTATTTATTTACTGTATTATTATAAATAATTTAATTAGTAATTTAGTATAATATTATTAGTAAGAATAAATTAATTAAGATAAGTTTACAAAACTATTATTAAAGTCTTAAATATATTGTATTTTTAATAACTTCACAATATTTTTATTATTATTACATTATAAATTTAATTTAATAATTTTTTACTTAATCTATTTTTTAATACTATTCAAATACTTAAAAAATTTGTATTAATATTTTAACAGCATAATTTATAAAGATAGTTCAAATAACATTAAAATTATAATAAAATATTTTATACCATAATAATATTATATAACAAAGAAAATTGTTTATAAGAAAATAAAAAATTGCACAAATAACTATTATAATATATATCTAATTAATATTATTTAAAATAATAATATTTAATAGACTAAGCCAAACAAAATATTCTTAGCATATTTTTATCACTGATAAACTAGTATACATTTTATTAATATATTTACTGTATATATATTTTATCTAAAACAATTCCTTTCAGCAAAAAGTTTAATTTAAAGTATTTGTTTCTCAATACGTTGTATAAAACAAACCAAAATTTAAAATTCAATTTAATATAAAATTTATTAAGTTAATACTTATTTATACAAATATTATGATTTTTTATTGAAAAATAAAACTAAATTTAAAATATAATAAATAATAAGAACAATGATAGTTAAAAGATGTAAAAAAAAATCAAAAATATAAAATTTATAGTTTTATATTTATTTTTTTTCCAACATTTGTTTATTTATTAAACAAATAAACAAATACTTGATATTGAATAAAATTTTTATATTTGTTATAAGTTATATTTAAAAATTATAACTCGATATTATAATTTATAATTTCATATTAATAAAATTATATATGAATTTTCATCTTATGATTTAATCACATTTTTTTATTTTATTAAAATGTAATATTTTTATTTTATATTAAATATATGACTTAAATATTAAAAAGCATGTATTTTTTTATATCCACGTTAAATAAATAATTTTTAATACATATAAAATTTACAAAATATTTAAATAGACTTTAGATAATTATTCAAAATTTAAATGAAAAGAATAATAAAAAATTATGAAAAAAAATAAAAATATTAATAAAATTTTAGATTTATAATGAAAATATTTTTAAAAAAAAATATAATAATAATTATCTAAATTAATATTATTCTTATTCTTATTATATTTTATATATTTTAAATTGAATATTTACTTTTTAATAATATTAATAATTTAATTTTTTTGTTTATTATTTAATTTTTTTATATATTATTCTTAACAATATATTTATTTTGCAAAAATAATGAAACTTTAATTTATTTTAAAGATATTTTTTATATAAAATAATTTAGTAAATTAAAAATAAAATCATAAATAAAAATAAAAGTTATTTAAATAATAATATTTTTTTTAATAAGAAAAAGATAATTCATATATATAAAAAAAATAGTTAAGATTATTTATAATTAAATTAAAGTAAAATAATAATGTAAGGAAAATAGTTATTTTTTATAAAATTTTTAACTGCTTTATGCATCTCTACTCTACTAATATTATATGCATAAAATACTTAATATAATTATATAAATTTATTTAGAAAATATTTAAACAACAAAAATATTGAAATAACTTCCAAAAGACATGCTCATAAATGTATCCATTCTAAAGTATTAGTAGAAGAAGAAAAAATAAGGAAAATTTAAGAAGCTAGCTCACATGAAGATGATATTAATTATAAGTACACTGAATAATCTAGCTTCTAAAATATTCGTATAAAATTTGATTATAGTAATTTAGAAAAACATCACTTTTCTATTCAAAGATATATTGAATTAAATTTAATTCCTGCTGCTGGCAATTATTTTGAAGAACTTCTTAGGGTTAGAAGATTAAACGAACCTATAAGACTCAGTAGTCGTTATAATAATTATCCTTGTGGATACGCTAAAGTAAATATTCCTAAAGATCATATTAATAATGGTGTTCAAAATGCAGATTTTGTCTTTTACATAACTGCATCAGATGATGAAAGTAATACCTTGGCTTATGCAAGTACATGTGATGTCTAAGGTACTGCTTCAACTAAAAGGCCTTTAGCTGGTTACTTTAATATGAATCTTAAATATTTTAAGTAAGCTATAAACAGTGGTGATAAGATGGCAGTCGCAAATTGGATTTATACCACACTACATGAAATGACACATTCTTTAATTTTTTCTGATTACCATTTTAGTAATTTCCCAAATAATATTAAGAAAAGGGACAGATACGGCAGAGTTGTTCTTGCTGACCCTTAATTATTAGAATATGCTAGAAAATACTTCAATTGTCCAACCCTTGAAGGTGTACCTTTAGAAGATGAAGTAATTTTTATTTAAAAAAAAATGTAGTAAAAAAAAATAAAAGGGTGGAAATGGTACAGCAGGAGGACATTGGGAAAGAAGACTCTTAGGAAACGAAATGATGACAGGATCTGATATGTATGATAGTGTTTTTTCGAATTTCACTTTGCTTGTATTTTAAGCTTCTACATGGTATTAAATCAATTGGAATAAGGCTTAGCCTTTAATTTGGGGTTATGGAGAAGGATGTAATTTCTTGGGAACAAACTGTGATATTTAATCTTAAGAATTCTGCAATTCAGTAAATAAAAATTGCAGTTATGATTATGCCGGCCTTGCTAGTTGTGCATAAGATAGTCTTTCTAATAATTGTAAGTATTGGAAATCTTATAGTAATACTCATTGTAACTATCCTGATTAAGGCTAAGCAAAATAGTGGTAAAGTGTTGGAGGAAAATCTGGTTCTAATACTAGATGTTTCAAAACTGATTTATATAACTAATGGAAGTGGAATGGAACTCCACCTGCATAAGCTTGTTATGAGAGTAAGTGTATTTTTAATGGTAATTAAGCTATAATCAAATTCATAGTTTATGGAAATGAATATTAATGCAATTAAAATAATTAAGTTGTGAGAATTGGTAATAAAGGTAGTGTTACTTGTCCTGATATTACTAGGTTCTGTCTACATATGTCTGCTTGTCCAGATTCATGTTTAGGAAGAGGTACTTGTTTTAATGGAAAATGTGTATGTCACAAAGGATTTAGTGGACCTACTTGTGAAACTAGAGAATGAAAAAATATATTAAGAATATTAAATTAATTTAATAATTTTATTATTAAATTTTTATTATAATTTTCAACATTTTTTTAATTCATAAAAAATAAATTATAGAATATGTTTCTTTTATATATATATAAATAATTAATTAGATTTTAAAATGAAATTATAAAATAAATACTTTTCAAACATAATTTAAAAAAAAGAAATTATTTTGTTTTAGTATATAAAAATTAAGAATTAATTATTCATGTCTTCTTTATTTTAATTGAATTTTTGAGAAAGCTCCTTCAAATATATTATTACATTATTATAAAAAAACTTTTAAATAATTTACATTTTTTAAAAATAAAATAATATTACATTTTTTTATATTAATAAAAATAATAAATTTAATTATTGTTTTAATTTACTTATAAATATAAAATAATTTATTATTTCTTCTCAAAATATATTTTAATAAAATATTATAGTGTATCATTTTCTTTTATTATAATAATTTTATGAATAAAATAATTAAATTAAATAATTAACTTTAAGCAAATATTAAATAATTTAATATTAATAAATAAATAATTTTTTTATAAATAAAATTTTTTATTAAAAAATATTAATTAACTCAATCATAAAATTAATAAAACCTAAGTGTATTTATTAAATATTTTTATATATTAATCATTTTAATATTTTTTTTAATATTAAAATTTTGTCATAAATATGCAATATTTTGTTAAAAATATTTTCTAAATAATACTGGAATGGATAAAAATCAATTTTTTATAGTTTAAAATACAATATATTATTTAAATTAAATTAAATTTTATTTTATATATATAAAAAAAACTTTAAAATGATTATAGAAACATATTACATATTTTATTGTGATAAAAATTATTAAAAATTTTTAACTATTTAAATCAAATAAAATTTTAAACATTCAAACACTATATTATTTATAAATTAAAACTAAAATAATAACTCCTATATATAAATTAATAAAATTTAATTAAATTTTTATTTCAAAACGATATTTTAAAATTTTTAAAATAAAAGCGATTAATGTAAAAAAACATGTATTCTAAAAAGACAAACATAACTTCATTAAATAATTCATTATCTCCATAAAAACAATTTTTTAACTCTTTATAAAAAAACAAACATATAAAAACAGCGATCAGCAATCTACCACAATTTAATCTAAAGGTTTTGCTAGCGAAAAATTAAAATAATAATTACATTTAAGTGCAACCTAATAGTCCATTAAAAACAAAAAAGGAGATACCATAGATAATATAAAAAATAAATAAAAGTCAAATGAATTAAATTCAATATAATAAATTCTAAGAAATGTATTAAATCCTCCTAAAACATAATTTCTTTAAAAATAATTATCTTCCACTATAAATAGTATTAATAATAAAAAATTAAACCTATAAATAAGCGGCCCTCTATTAGTAAAATAAACTGAAAACATATAAAATAAATAAATAGAAGATTAATAATAATTAGATCATTATTCTGAAAAGTCAAGTTTGGAAGAAAACAAAAACAATTAATAAAAAAAAGAAATTCTTTTAAATAGATGTACAACTGAAAACTTTACAAATAATATATCAGAAAGACTAAATTCACCTTCTTATTATAATAAAAAAACGATGAACTATTAGAAGAAGTATCAGAAATAAATTCAGCTAAATCGATATTACATAATTCCTCTAAATAAAAAGCTTCGCATTTTTAAAGGTAAAACAATAAATAAAACACTGTAGCGATATTTGAATCTCCAAGAAAATAATCAAAAATAATTAACTAATCGATTTTTGAAAAAAATTCTAAACCTAGTAACAATATTAATTAATCCTAACAATTAGAAGGAAACGGAAATGTCAAAACATACTTAAGATTTAGACCTAACAACTAGGCTGAATTAGAATTAAACTAAAATGGATTAGGAAGTAATATAATTGAATTCATAAATAATTAAACAGTAAAAATAATAAATGATTCTGTAAACTACACTGTAGATTGTGCATTTGGACCTGAATCAACACAAGTATTTTTTAAAAAATAAAATATATTTAAATATATATAGGATACAATTTATGAAAATATAGCTTCTTGTGTAGTAAATGATGTACTAATAGGGTATAATGGTACTATATTTGCATATGGAGTATCAGGAAGTGGTAAATCTCATACAATGTTCGGAAATATAGAAGATTAAGAATAAATGGGAATAATACCGAGAATGTGTGCATAATTATTTTAACATATAAATAATAGTTCAAATAACAATGAAGAACAAGACGAAATAGAATGGACTATAAAATGCTCTATGCTAGAAATTTACAAAGAGTGTTTATAGGACTCTTTTAATAATGATGATTTTGATAAAAAAGGAGATTTAAAAATTAAAGAAACACCCTAAAAAGGAATTATAGTACAAGGTTTGACTGAAAGAGTGGTTTAGGATGAAAACGAGCTACTTTAATTAGTTGATTTTGGCTATAATACAAGGTAGATAAGAGCCACTAGACTTAATGAGTACAGTTCAAGGTCTCATACTATATTTATGGTCATGATTAGGCAAAAACTTATGAATGGAGCTGAAAAAATTGGAAAATTAAATCTAATAGATCTAGCAGGGTGTGAGAAGGTGTCAAAAAGTGGCGCTTCTGGGGAAGGTTTAGAAGAAGCAATAAAAATAAATTTATCTTTGAGTTGTTTAGGAAAAGTTATACATTCATTAACTACAGGACAAGACCATATTCCTTATAGAGATTCCAAATTAACAAGAATTTTATAAGAAAGTTTGGGTGGAAATTATAAAACTTCCCTAATTGTGACATGTTCAATGCATTCAAAATTTACTGATGATACAATTTCTTCACTTAAATTTGCTACGAGAGCAAAAACAATAAAAAATCACTTCAAAGTGAATGTAATTCATTCCTAAGATAGTCTTAAATAGACAATTGAATTAATGAAAAATGAAATTTTATAATGTAAAAGTTTAGCCTAAAATTATAGATAAGCTATACTAGAAACTAGATAGAATTTAGAATTTATTAATATTTAAGATCCTTAGGCTGTTAAAAAAATTAAAAGTGGATTAGATTAATATTTAAATGAGTAAAGACCGTATTAGTTATTAGATGGGAATATTTATATTGGAAATAATAGTAATGGTTAGATTTATGAAACAGGAGGAATTTATTCTGATCTTTTAAATACTAAAGTTAGAGTCAAAGATGAATTAATAAAAAGTTTGAATTAAAATATAAAGGATTTATAGAATTAAAATTAAGAATTAGTTAATTAGAATATGTAGTTAAGAAAAGAAAATATTAGAGTTTGTAATATTTAGAATGAAATATCAAATGAGAAAAATAATCTTGAGTTATAATATAAAAAGGAATTGTAAAAAAATAGTTTCAATTATTTTTAAATGGAAATTTTATAAAAATAAATTCAAAAATTGGTAGAATAAGTGTGTAAACTTGAAAAAGAAAGTGGTAATTTACTTGAATAAAAAAAAAAAATTATTGATATGAAAATAGAAGATATTTTAAAAGAAAAACTTAACTTTGCAGAAATAAAACTTTCAAATTATTTAGATAAAAATATAAAGATTAATTTTGATGTAAAAATTATATATCTAAAAATTTATATATATATATATATATAATTATTAAATTTATATATATATTATATAATAATTTTATTATAACAAATATAATTTTTTATATTTTTAATAATTTTATTTTATAAATTAAAATTTTAATCATAATAAATATATTTCTTTAAATACTAAATATAATTATATTAAATATTTTTTATTATATATATTATTTATTTATTTTAATTAATTATATATTATTGAATTTATATAAATTTCTATTTATAATTAATAAAAATTTTATTTATTTTATATAAAAATTGCTTTATTACAAAAATTATATAAAATTAGATTTAATAATTTATTATTTTTTTAATTATATTTAATAAATATTATATTATTTAATTATATTTATTAAATATAATTATAAATAATTTAATATATTTTATATAAATATATATAATTAAATATAATTATAATATTTAATTATATATATTTACATATATAATTAATTTTAATTATTTATTAATTTATATAATTATTTATAATTATATTAATTATTTTTATTATTATTTATTATATTTTATTTATTTAATATTGTATAATTATATATAATATTATATATTTTTATTTAATTATATACTTTTAATATATAAATAAGATTTAAGATGATTAAAAAAAATTAGAATAAAGAAAAAATATAAGCTTAGAAAATATTGATTTATAAGGAAATTATTTATAATCAGTAAATTCATTAGATTCATTAGATGATTGTAATCTTTAGTTATAAAATAGTATTACAAATTATAGTGCATCTGGTTAGCATTTAGAATCTATGAAAAAAATATTTGAGTTTCCTTAAAAAATAGATGAGGCTGCATCAAAAGATTCCATTTCCCATGAATTTATAATAATTTAATTAAAAAAACTATTAATTAAGTATATTTATATAAAAATAAAAAAAAATATTTTAAAAAAGTTCTCACATTATAAATTAGAATTTAATAAGGACAATAAGTTCTTTAGAATGGAAATAAATATTAGATTAATATAAATAAAAACTCAAAACAAATGTTGTAAAAATATAATCCAAACACATGAGAAATTTAGAATAAGTAATGCAGGAGTGCATTTTGAAAAGCAAATAAATGCGAATCAAAATAGAAGATATGGAATTTGAAATGTACAATAATTAAAAAAACTAAATGAATAATAATAGTAGCAATAATATTAATAAAATAAGAAATAAATAAATGTCTAATTTTTTTCCTTCAAACATTAATGAAAATGGTACTTAAATTTCTAAATTATTATAGACAAGAAGTAAATAAGTGAGCATTTTTTCGTTTACAAATAATCTAATTTTAAAATAATAATAAACATCAAATTTAGAAAAAAATGAGCTTATACAATGTAAAATAAAAATATATTATATTTGCTTTATTTATTAATTAAATAAATAGAAATAGAATAAAACATTAAAAAAGTAATGCCATTAACATATGAAAATGCAATAGCTGATATAGCATAAAAAAATTCACTTTTATAAAAAGTTTCTTAATAAATTTTTAAAAGCGATAATATAAATACTAATTAAATAAGTAACGACTATCAACAATAAGCTGAATAGGATTTGATTAAAGAAAATACAAGACTTAAAAATAAAATATTAATGATGTAAAATGAATATGCAATGGAATAAGTAAAATCAGAATCATATGTAGAAGCATTAAAAGTAGAAAGATAAAATGTAAAAAATTTATAAAAGTTAAATTAGTAAATGGAAATTTCCTTAACAAATAATTTAAAAGAGGAAAATGATTCCTGGTAAACTACTATAAATACTATAAAATAAATAAATCAAAAAGAAATTATTAGAAGACAAACTGAATTTAATTTATTAAATGAAAAATATTATAATTCTATAGAAAGTTCATTAAAAAGGTATTTTTTATATAAATCTTTAATAAATTAAAAAAAAAGGCTAGAAGAATTAAAAGGAAAAAATATTACTTCAAAAGAATTAGAAAAGATAATAAGTGAATTAATTAAATTTCAAAAAAATGCAAACCAAGTATATGAAATAAAAACAAAAAGAAGTATTCTGAGATAATAAAATACTTTAAATTTAAGTACTGAAAATTCACCTTTTTTCACATAGGGTATATAATCAGCAGGGCAAAAAGAAAAAGATTTAAATTTGTGATTAAATAAAAAATAATTAAATAAATATAATTTAATTTAATGATATTTTATTTTTAATTTTTCTATAAAAATAATAAATATTTTTTCTTCGATATATAATAAGTTTATTTTTAATTATATAAATTAAAATATTTATACATAAAATATATTCTAATGTTTATAAATTTACATAAAATTATTTTTCAGATGGAATTTTAAAAATTAAAATTAATTTTTTTAGTAGTTTATTTATTAAATAAATCTTTAACTACATTGTAAATTATTTTTTATTCAGTGTATAAAAATTAATTCGAATGAAATTATACTCTAATTTATTCCGAATTTATTGATATTAATTTATATTAATTCAAAAATTATTTACTTAGATTTAATATTCATTTACTTTTATTTAAAATCTCATTATCTAATTTATATTAATATTATTAAGATTTTAAACTATAAACTATTTATTCTTTTTTATAATATCCTTATATTTTATTTATTCTTTAGCTATCGATCGTTAATTTATTACTAATCATTAAAATTTTAATTATTTTAATAATTATACTTTTAATCTTACTTCGTAAATCGAATCTATTTTATTTATCTTATTGGTTATTTTTAAAATTTTCTAATTATATTTAATTATCTTAATGATACAAAATATTTCAATGCAAATTATTATTAATTTGAAATTATTTGTTAAAACCAAATTTAATATCTTAAATATTATTTTACATGTTTTAAATTAAATTTATATATAATCAGTTTCTTATTAATTTTCTTATCTTTTATAATGCATTTTTAATATCTAATTTTATGCAGTCATTATATTTTTAATTTTTTAATTTTTTTAAGCTTGTTATTAATTTTTTATTGCCAGATAAAATTCTAATTACTAATATCTCAATTAATTAAATTGTCCTATTTTTATATTTAATCGATAAATTATAATTTTTCTTAAATATTATTATTTTAGTATTAACTTTATAGTCTTATTATTTTTATAATAAATAATTATTCTATGAATGTATTTATTGAGAAGTTTATTTTTCAAAGTTGAGTTAAGCATATTTAATTGTTATATATATAAATTAACTTCCTTATTCAATTTTTGCATTTCCTAACATTAAATGTTTATTTACTAATTAGAATAAATTTGATTATTTTGTATTAATGCTTTTGATTAATGCAAAAATTATATTCTTATTTTTTAATTTTATGAAAAATAAATAAATATTTTATTTTTAAGGTATAACATATTATTCTTCTAATTAATTAAAATCTTTTATAATTAGTAAACAAAAAATTAAATTATTTTTTAATATTTGCCTTGTATTTTATTAAATATATTCTTTATTATATAATTCTGGTTTATTTTAATTATTTACCTATCTTATTTTCTTTAATTTTATTGTTTAAAGTTTACAAAACTAATTAAATTTTATTAATCTATTTTAATAATATTTTAGTTCTTATGCTTAATTATTAATAATTTTGTTAACTATCTTTTTGTTTAATTTTTTTAATCTTTTATAATTTCTATTTTTAAAATTTATATAATTGCATTTTATAAGATTCTTGCTTATTATTTTTTGTTTTTGCAATTTTATGTTAAATTAAATAAATATAATAAATACAAATACAAATTATGTAAAATATAATGGTAATAATTAAAGAATATAAAAATAATAAAAAATAAGTAAAATACCATATAAAACATTAATATATTTTATCATTAATTGTTTAATATATAATTGTATTATTTTAATATCTTATATATATAATAATAAATATTTTTATTGAAAAATAATATTATTTATATCATAAAATTTATTTTATTTTTTATAAAAATTTTATTGCTTTTTTATACTTTATCAAAAAATTAATTTTATATTTGTATTAAAAAAATAAAATATTTACTTATTTATTTTCAATTAAATTTATACTTAAATATATAATATAAAAAAAAGAAAATAGAATTAAAAAATATAATAATTTATTATTTATTATTTATAATATAATAAATAATAAAAATTTGATTTTTATATATATAAAAAGTATAAAATAATTTTAAATAAAAAGATAAAAATGTGAAAAAATAAGTTAAAATATTTTGGATATATTATTATATTTAAAAAAAAAAATTATTAATTTTTATTTTTAATAAAATGAATTTAATTATTTTGATAAATTTTATAAAATATTTTTTGTATAAAAATTAAAAATAATGAATTTAAAATTGTTATTAACAGTAAAATGTATTTAAATGTGAAATTATATTAACTTTTGTTAGTATTTAATTAAAGAAATAAATTAAATAAATAATTAATAATTTTAAATTCATATTAAGTGTATTTTATAATATTCACTCAAATATATTAAATATTAAAATATATTTTAAATAAATATTTTGATGTTATATGTTTTAAAAAAAATATAATATATATATATATATATATATATATACAATTATATTTATATAAAATCTATATATATTTAATTATATATTTTTTGAGTTTTATTAATAGAAAAAATTACTATAAAAAATATTAATATCTATAATTTATTTATATATATTTTTATTTTTTAAATCTTTTATTAACATATTTAATATTTATTGTTATTTATGTATATAAAAGTTTTAATTTAATTATAATATTTACAAAATTTAATTTATTCTTAATTTTACTCATTTTATCATTTTTATATATTTTTCATATTTCTTTATCAAACAATATAATTTTTTGCGAATTTTTTATATATTTTCAATTATTACGATACAAATTGTTTTAAAATTAAGAATATTAACTTATTTTTTATATAAGAAAATTGTATTTTCTAATATTTTATTTGAAATATTAAATTTTTCTATTTTTCCAAAAAAATAAAAAGTAAAATATTCAATTATAATTATTATAATAATTAGATATTCAATCTTTTATTAATAAATAGGAATTATTGAATTTGTATTTCATAATCAATTTTTATTTTATATTTTAATTGTTTTTTATTATTAATTATTTGTTATAGTAATATCCAGAATTCATTTCTAAATTAAATCTGCTAAAAGTGAAAAAAAAAGACTAAGGATAAAATTATTTATCTACAAGTTGATTAAAATTTAACTTGTAAATTACACTTATAGGAATAATTTATAATATTATTATAATTAAAAAAGTTATAGATATATACCATAAAAGCTTTATTTAGCTATTATGGGTTAAAAACAGAAACTTGTTTAGATAAATTATTCAGTTAATTTATACATTTTGTAATTATTTATAAATTTATAAATTTTTAATAATTTAATTATAAAACTTTTTTTTATTATTTTTGACATATATATAATGTTTCTTTAGATTTCTTTCAAACAGCTTATATACTTTATGATTTTTTTGTTTAAAAAAAATCAATATCAACAAAAATAAAATTTCATAATCAATTCTTCTTTTTTTTATGTTTATTGAATTTTAAAAATAAAAATAAAAAAACATCAGAACAAGTAATATTTTATATTTTTGAATATAAATTTTAAAAAATATAAAATTTTATTTTTTAAAAATAAAAATAAGTCTTTTTAATTAATTAATTTATTTTTATTAAAAGCATCTTATAAATAACAATATTTTTTATTTTTTTTTGTATTTAATGATAAAATCTAATACTTAAAACTTTATTTCATAACTACCTTAATAATTAAATGACCGAAAAATATCTTTTGAAGTATTTGCTAATAAAGAATCTCCTCAGCTTTTGCCAACATCTAAATTATAAAATAAAAATTCGCAATAAAGTTAGCAGCAAATTACATAATAAAAATAAATCGAAAATTCGATATAAAATTATTAACAAGTAGACAATACGAATCAAGAAAATATCACTGATTTTGCAAATAAAGATATTATTAATTAAATGAAAAACATATAAAATTTCAATTTAAAAGAACTTCTTATTTTGAATTCTCCTAATGTAATAAGATAAGGTTCAATACATAGAATTTACCCAAAAACATATATTTAAAATAATGCTAAGAATAGCGAAAAAATTAGATCTTAAAAAAATACTATTAACAGGATTTCTTCAGGAGATGATAATTAAGTGGAGGGTATATATGATGTAATAAATAATTAGATAGAATAAGAATAAGAAAGTAAATTATTTTCGAACTGGAATGTAACTCGAAAAGTAAAAATGATAAATAAATTTATTTAAAAAGTTCGAAATTAGACTCGTGATTTGAATTTAAAAAATATAAATGAAATTCATTTTAATTTAATTGATGATAAAGCTTTTTTTTTTCAAAAAAGTATAAAAAAAATAAATTATTATTTTAAATATTTAATTTTTTTGGAAAAAATTATTTTTAAAATAATTTAATTTATTAACTTTCCTGTATTTTCTCCCGATAACTAATTAATTATTACTTGGAAGCTTTTTTTTACTTTATATTTGGTATTCGAATTAATTATTATTCCTTTCCAATTTTTTTTTTCTACTAATATTTCTGAAGAATAAGGAAATATTTTATTTTACTATTCATCTATTATTTTCTATTTATTAGATATTTTCAGATAATTTAATACAGGCTATTACGAAGAAGGTATAAAATAATTAAATAGAATGAAAATAACGAAAAACTATTAATAAGAATTTGTGATAGATATTTTTATAATGATATTCATTTTTATTTCTGAATACTTATCTAATGAATATTTGTAACTAATTTTTATTTTGAAAGTGCCTTATATATACTAATCATTAAAAGACATAGGCGAGCATTTCTAAATAAACTAAAGGTTTCCGCAAATATATACTTTATTTAAACTTTTTTTTATGGTTTTTTATGCCGCACATATTTCAGGATGTATTTTACATTCTATATCAATGATAGAGTATTAAAATGGAAATGAAAACTGCTGGATAGTGTAATTAGGTATTTAGGATGATAGCATATATATAAGATATGTTAATTCATTTTATTTTGCGATCATTACAATGATTACAGTTGGGTTTGGTGATATAACTCCTGTTGCTACAAATGAAAAACTTTTCGTTATTGTGGAAACATTAGGCGGGTCTTTATTATTTGCGTATACTGTAAATACTGTAGGAAGTATTTTTTAAGAATTGGCTTAGAAGGAGTCTGATTTTAATAAAAAAAAATACGAAATTTCAGTTTATATGAGAACAAGGTAAATCAATACAGATTTATAGGTTAGGGTAATGAAATATATAGATTATATTAAAATATAAGATGAAGATAATCCTGTTAAAGGATTGGAAATTATTAACTCTTTATCTAACAATTTAAGAGAGGAGATTTAAAGAGATTTTTTTGGGAGATTTTTAAAGTCTTCTAAAATGTTTGCTTTGGAATTTTCGTAAGAGTTTTTAAATGAACTTTCTCTATATTTTGAAGAAAAAGTTTATGGACCTGGAGAAATAATATATAATTAAGATAGTTTTGATAAGAATAATTTATATTATATAAATAAAGGAAATGTTTAAATTAATGTATAGTGCGGAAATCATGAAAAATAAATTATGGAAATAAACGTAATTTTTAATCAATATATATATATAAATTATTTAATAACTAAAAAAATAAAGGCAGGTAATTTTTTCGGATAAACCGAATTTTTTAGCAATTTAATTAGAGGTTCATCTGCTAAAAGTAAGAAAATAACAAGTGTTCTAGTTTTAAAATTAGAAAACTTTAGTGAGTTAATAAATCACTACCCCCACGATTTTGAAAAATATATACAAATTCGAGATGGAATCAGATTTTATGAATAATTTAAAAACATTGCTTGCTTAAGTTGCGGTAAATACACACATCCATTTACGAATTGTCATTTTCTTCACTATAAAAAATCTCGGGATTTACTTCTGGCCAGATACACTTATAACTAACCTCATATAACAAGAACATAATACACTCGTGCAAAAAATAAATAAATGTTTAAAAGCTTAAATGATAATTATAAAATAAAAATTCAACTCAAATATTTAAGGATAAAGGCTTAATTTAATGACGATGAAGAAAGAATATAAGAAGCATTATAAAATCATCAATCTGATAAAAAATTTTTCAAAAATTTTTCAAAAATACGCTTATCTGAATTAAACCAAATAGCATTACTCATAACAAATGAAAGTCAAGAAGAATAAGTTAGTAATAATTCTGAATTTTCTAATTCTTAATCTTCTCCAAAAAGCTCAAAACATTCTTTTTCTAGTAGCAGTTCTGAAAGCAAAAGTAGCAGCAATGTAAATGAAAATTATTAAAAAGCTAAGTTACAAACTATTTAAGAAGAATAAAGCCCACTGTATTAGAGTTTAACTACAAAACCTTTTTGTTTGAAAAGCGTTATTTCATAAAAGAAAAAAAGTGTGTTTGGGTAACCTATTAATAATTAGAAGCTACTTTAAATTTAAAACAATTAAAATAACAAAAACAAGCAATCTTTAAGTAACTCAAATTCTTCTAATAGTAGTATTTCATCTCCTTTACTAATCGATAAAAATAAAGAAGAATAAGAAGCTGAGGATAAAGAGAATAAATTAAATTTTGATATTGAATAGCCTTTTAATTTAATTTATTAACCAAATTTAAATTAATTTAATATAGATGAATAAAAATATAAATCAAATAATTAAAATTCAGATGATTAAACAGAAATAACTGAATAAAATTAATAATAAAAAAAATTTATTAAATAATCAGTTCGTGCATTAAGTGTCAGTACATAGCCAATAGTTAATAAACAAAAACTTATAATAAGCCCAAATAATAATTTTGTTGAGTCAATAAATAAAACATAACAACAATAGTAATAATAATAATACTCTAATAAGAAAAAATCTAACGTTTCTACAGAAAATTTTGGAATATATGATTATAAAAAAAGTATTAAATAAGAAGGAAATGCTTAAACAGTGCAAACGATACCGAATTAATTTTTAAATTTGACTTAATTTGATGAAAATGCATTATTTGAACGATTTTAAAATTTTGTTTCAGAGAAATAAAATGTTGAAGGGTTAAAAAATAGAAATAATAAATAACTTGTTGGCTATTTTAATCAAGAATAATAGTAATAGGACAAGAAAATCCAATTTTATTTTTTTGAATTTGAATAGTATAAAGAATATGAATTTTACTTTAAACATAACAATTTATCAAATGTAATTAAACAAATAAAATATAAGAAGACAAAGCACAAAAAACTTTATAAGTTCATGAATAAAAAAAGTAAAACAACCATTAATAATAATTAATTTTCTAATAATTTAGCTAATTTAACATAAACATAAACATAAATATAAACGTAAACATAAACATAAACATAAACTAATTAATTTGGTGCCTAAAATTATAATTGTGTATCGAATTAATTAATTTCTTATCTTAATAGTAAAAAAGAGTGATAACAAAAAAATATTAGATAAAGTTAGATTAGATAAAAATTATATATGTATTACATATATTATATATATATATATATATATATTTATTTATTTATTAATATTTATTTCTTAAATTATTTATTTAAACAAATATTAATAAAATTTTTTTTTTTAATTTATTTATTATAATTTAAACATATATTAAAACAAAATTAAAATATTTAATTATTATAATTTATTATTTTATATATATATTAATCAATTTTTTTATTAATATGTTTTAAAAATTTTGAATTAATATACCTTAAATTTTTATTTTTATATTTAATTTTTATTTAAAAGTTTATATTTATTTCATTCAATGTTTTTTTTAAAAAAAATTAATATATCAATAACTTTAATATTATATATAATTTTTATTTAATTTATAGAAATACATATAAAAAAAATTATTTTTTCAAAATAATTAAAAAGAAAAAAGCGAAAAAAAAAAACACCAAAAATTAATGGAATAAGCACAATCTACATTAGATGATGTAGAATAAGCAATAATTTAATTTTTAAATTCAATAAGCAATATATAAAAAATTGTTTTAGTACTTGAAGATTTATCAGATGGTGTATTATTTGTAGAATTACTTCAAAAAGTAAATGACCTTTATTTCAAATCAGAAAATGTATTAAAAGAAACAGACGACAATTGGGTCTTAAAACATAAAAATTTAATTTATTTAATCGAATAAATAGAAAAATATTATTGCGAAATATTAAAAATACATTCTTTTGATAAAGAATATGTTGATATAGTCGAAATATGTAATTACAAAAATAAAAGGTAAATAATAAAATTAACTGAACTGGTACTAGGGATAATAGTATAAAGTGATTGTAGGTGTGAGTTTATATTTTCTATATAATAATTGGCATAAAAGCATTAAACTATCCTCATGCATTTAATGGAAAAGTGGATTGTGTAAGATGGAGAACGATTAATAAGCGAAAATGATGAAACTTATTCTGATATGTATTCTTCTAGAATTAGTATGGGAGGATAACAATAAAATTTTCAAATGTAATAATAGTTGTTAAAGAAAGTCGATGAATTGGAAAAAGAAAACTATATGTTAAAAGAAAGAATGGATGAAATTAAAAATGAGGAAATTTTAAAAAACAAAAAAATAGGAGACCTTGAATAAGTAATTTAAAAAAAATAATAAGAAATAGAAAAATTGAAAATCTAAAAAGACAATCTTATATTAAATATTGAGGAAGAAAATAAAGTCGATTTTTAAGGAGAAATCAAAATTAGAGAAGCTAAAATAGAAAGCCAAACTTCAATTATATAACAATTATAAATGCAAATATAATAAGAAAACAGCAAATAAAAAAATGAAATATAAGGATATATATTATAAAATAAAAAATATTAGGAAATCATCGAAATATATAAAAAAAAATGCGAAGAATGTTTAATTTAAATAAATGAAACTGAAAAAAAATAGCAAATAGCTTTGTAAGAAAAAGATAAGTAAACAGATTTACTAAAGGAAAAAATATAAGAAACTAAATAGTTATTTAATGACGAGAGAAAAAAATTACTTGAAAAAAATATCGAAATTTAATAAAAAGATATTCTTATAGAATAACTGAGTAAATATAAGGAGAACTTAGAAGAAAAAGCTAATCATTAGGAAGAAAAAATAATAAATTTGGGTTATATGTTAGAAAAATATAAATAAAGTGATAAAAAAACTACTTCTATATTAAATGATGAACCAAAAAGGCTAAATGATGATTTAAGTTAGATAATGGATGATTTAGAAAACGAAAATTAAAGACTTAAAATGACTTAATAAAATTAAATTTGTGATGAAGATTGCAGCCTTTCTAAAGAATAAATAAGTATCTTAAAAGGAAAATTAAAAAGTGTGCAGGAAAGTGAGGTTAAAATGAATTTTGATATATAAGATTTAAAAAAGAATATTTAAAATATGGAAAAGGAAAAATAAGAAAATATAGAAAAACAGGAAAAAATAATTTTTTAATTAAAAGATGAAAATTAAAGTCTAAAAAGGGAACTTTTAAATAAAAAATAAGAGAAAAAGGAATATGTTTAAAGTTTGGTTGAAGTCATAGAAAATAAGGACGAAGAATTATTTCTTATGTTGGCTGTATTAAATAATTTAAGAGTAAAATTTGATTAATTAAAAAAATAAAAGAATTATATTTGATTTTTTGTTTATTTAAATTTAATATGTCAGATAAGATATATGATTTATTTATTATAATTTTTTTATTTTATATATTAATAATAATAGTTAATATTTAAAAAATTATCTTAAACTTTATAATTTTCTTAATATAAAATAAATAAAAAAGTTTTAATTTATTTAAAATTAAAATATTTTTGTATAAACTTTAAATAATCAGCTATTTTGAATAAACCCTATATCAACTTAACTTTAAACGTTCTATTTTATTTTTTATTTATATCTCAAAATAACAAAAGCAATAGACAATAACAATCCAAAAATAACAAACGATTATACTCCAATAATAATATATTCAGTTTTTTTATCATCATTAGTAATTTAAAAACTTTAAAGTTTTTCGACTTTTTAACTTTTTTTATTCAGACATTCTCCATCATAATCCTTTGAAATATAATTCATAATTCTGTTTTTAAGCTCCTAATAATCGCATTAAATATTCTCTTTTTCACACAAATTCATATACTTCCCATCGTATTTGATTTTTATAAAATATTTATCCTAAGAAACGTCATCTTAATGCAATTCCCATAATATACTTGAAGCAAATTCAGGTCTCAATTCACAATTTATAGACTATCTATTACCCCCAAACTTTTATTAAAGTAAGCATTAATAGCTCGAAAAATTAAAAGCCCTCATATTCATAGATAAGTTACTATCATGTGCACTAAACATCATCATCTTAAGATTACTATATTTCCCATTAATTTTATTTTCAAAATTATCAACTAAATGCTTCAAAAAAGGTGTAACTAATAGCTTAGTTCCTAATTCAGTTCCAAAATCTCCAAAAAACCAAGAAAAGCTATCCACAAACTTTATATTTTCTAATTCTTCTCTAGTTAACTAATCTGGAATTCTTCTTGCATTATATAAATTTGCGATAAAAACATCGTAAACTCCTCCCCAAACACCTCCTAATTAAGAATAGTTGTTTATTTCTTAATTTAGTATAGAAGTTAATTTTTAGTATAATTGAGTAAAATTTTTGTTAAATTCTTAAGCTAATTAAATATTCTAATCCTTAAATTTCTTAACCAAATTTACGTATTCATCACATCTATTCCAAGGCTAAAGCTCCAAATCATCCATTTCATCTCTTACATGTATAGGAATAGCACTCAAATTATGAGGCAAAGAAAATTCTTATAAATTTTATTGGTCATCTTAAGCCCCTTAATAAGGAGGTCTTTTATAATCAGGATTTAAGTTTTACGGAATACTAAACCCTTAAGGATACAAGCCTATTAACTAGCTTTAGGCACTTGATATAGTTCTGTCTACGTCTGTACTTCTGACTTAAATTTCTTAATAATTGTAGTTAGGACTCAAGAATTATTAATCGATAATATATTCTTTTCTAAGTTACTTACCTAAATTGTAGTGTTAACGATAACCCACTGGAGACAATTGACCGTGAAACATTTACTGTTCTTCCCAATCGTAATATTTTGACATTGGGTATCGGGCTCCATGTCTAAAGAGACTCTAGATGAAAACTAGTCTTTATATGGTTTAGTGTATTATTATTGAGATTATTATTAATTTTATAAACATCTTTATTAATTTAAATAATATTAAATATTTTAATTATAATTAAAATTTATTAAAATAAAATATAAAAAAATGATTTCAATATTCTTTTTTTTATATTTTCTATGAATTTATATTTTAAATAAATGTAATATTCAAAAATATAATAAGATTAAAAAAGTCAAGAAAAAATTAAATAAGAAAATCATGAAAAAAATAAAGTTATTTATATTTTATAAAAATAAATATGTGTAAGCAAATTATATAAAACAAAATCATTATTATTTATATAAAATCTATATTAATTTTTAATAATTTTTAAAATTTTTATATCATATATTATAAATATTACAATTTAATATTTAATAATAATAAATTAATATATACATCTATTTATTTGAATATAGTTTTTTAAAATTAAACATATATTATTTTAAATAAACAGATATGATAATATTGTTAATTGTAATTTAATTTATTAAAGATATTTTCTTTTATTTTATATTTATATTTGTATTGTTTTTAATAAAATTAAAAGATTTGTATTTATATATATTAAAATTAAATTATTTTATTTAGTTTTTATTTTGATTTATATAAATAAAAGACAAACACGATTATTTATTTATATTAAAAATAAAAATTAATTAAAAATAAAATAAATATAAAATTATATATATATATATATATATATATATATATAAATTATTTTAATTATATAAATTTAATAAATTAATCTTGATTTAAATAAATTATAAATTTTCAATTATTATTGTAACAATATAATAATATATATTCTAAAATAAAAAAAAAAATTTTATTGTATTTTACTATATAATAAAATTTATTACTTTTTGTATTTGTAAAATAAAAAAATAATTATAAATTAAATTATATAAAAAAAATATTTATTAATAATAATATATATTAAATTAATTAAATATAAAAAATTGTTTAATTATTATATATATAATAAATAAAATTAATATAATATATTTTATTAGAAAATATGTTATTAAAAATATAAAAAACATAAATATTTATTTTAATAAATAGAAATATATATTTATATATATAATTTTTTAAAATAATAAAAATTTTACATAAATTGATTTTAATTTATATTATTATTAGAACATTAAAACTATTAAAATAAAAAATTATCATAAATATTAATACTAAAAATTTTAATCTTTATAATTTATTTTAATTTTTATTATAATAGAAAAATTTCGAAATATTTAATTATGATACTAATATACTGATTTTCTAATATTATTAAATTATAAATATTTAAAGTAATTTTTTTAAATGTATTTTTTTCTATTAATTCAATATTTTTTTTTTTTATATATTATTATTTGTAATCTTTCTATATAACTATATTTTTTGTAATAGCTATTTAAAATTTTTTAAGTATTTTAATAAAAGCTTAATTATATAAAATACAATATAAATATTTTTATTTTAAATATAAAAGAATTTTATAATATACAAATTAATTATATAAATACATATTAATTTTTTATTCCAAAAAATATACATTATTCCGTAATTCATCTTATTCATATTTTTTTTTTAAAAAAAAATAAAATATTTAAAATTTAATAATTAAATCGAAATAAATAATACAAAAATCAAAAAAACAAAATTAAATATTATTTTTTTGTCCATTCAAATTTCTAAAAGAAAATAAAAAATTAACACATATAATTATAAAAAAAATTATAAATACAATGTAATTGGTTAATATATTTCAAAGTATTAAATAGTTAATTGATTTAAAAACCTTCATTTATATTTTACATAGCTTAATATTATTAGGGAACTGTATTTTTGATTATTTTTATAAAATTAATAATATGATTTTAATTATAAATATATCAATATACATATTACAAATTATATTAAACATAATTTTAACAAATAAAAGCATAAATATATCCCAAAAACAGAAGTGTTTTTTAAATATCGGATTAAACACTTTAGAAATAATTTTACAATTAGAAAAATTACCTCTGCACTCAAATAAATACATATTAATAAATTAATTTTTAGCTATATTAATAGTTTAATTAGTATACAATTTAGCTTATACAAGAAAAATAATAATTATTTATTTGATATGTTTTTGCCTATATTATTAATTTAGGATTTACGCTTTTCAAACAGACAACATAAACGAGAGATTGCAATTTATTTATTTAAGCACTTTTTTTATAATTGTATTACCCAATTTATAGTTGAATGAAAAAAATGATACATTCAAAAAAATTTATAACTCTTTTCAACATAATAGATTTAATACTCGCGTTACTTTAAATTAAGAAGGGTATACTTTTAATGACATTTTATAAAAAAATACAGAAAATAATAATAACTAAACTTTAAAAAGCCAACAAATAGTGTTAGAAAGTAAAAAAAGATTGATGTTTAAAATACATAAACAAAAATTTATTAAAATATATAAATAATAGAAAAAAATAAAAAAAGCAAATAATTCATTTGAGTTTGTAAATTTAAAAAAAAACGATAAAGTTAAATATTTATCGGATAATAATTTAATAAAATAATAAAAAAATAAAACTTTAGAAAACTAAGGCAATTATATTATAAATAATATGCCAAGCACATTACAATTCTACTATATTTTATTAAAAATACTTCCTGAAGGAATTCTTCTTTTAGGAAATAAGATTTTTCACATTCAATTTTTAAATAAAAATATTTAAGAAATTCTACAAATAGACAGTAAGTTTTTAGTTGAAAAACTCCTTTCTTTAAAAAACTCAGAATTTAAAGAATACGGAAATGATAAAAAAGACGATTCCACAAGTACTAATAGTACTCTAAAAGGTTAGACTATTTATGTAAATTAATGCAAAAATTTAAAAAGTTTGTATGAAAAGATTATCAAACTAACAAATTATTAATTAAAAAAAAATTTTCTTTAAGGTATAGAAGAGTAGTCTTAAAAATTTATCATGTATTGTAATTTTAATAATAAAAAAAATTAAAATGAAGATGATATTAAAAATTTAGAAATTACCTGTGTACCAACTATTATAGATAATTAATCTTCAGTCCTTTTTGTAATAAAAGATATAAGCAATATAAAAAAATTAAACTATTTATAAATACTAAACGAAAATAAATCAAAAATGCTCTCATAAGTAGCACATGAATTCAGAACTCCTTTAAATTGTATAATTTCTTTAATAGAAATAGCCGAGGAGCAAAAGTTTTTTTTTTTTAAATATATCATTATATTAAAAAATATATATAATAAAAAATTAGTACTTATTTGCATTAATTCCTAAAACCAGCCTTAATAAGTGCTTAATAATTAAATTTTATGGTGAATGATATTCTAGATTTCACTTAAATAAAAGCAAATAAATTTTCTCTAAATTATCAAATATTTGACTTTTTAGATCTTATAAAGCAAATTATTCTTTTATTAAATATAGAAGCAAGAAAAAAGCAAATAGAACTATTATATCAATATGATCCTTAATTACCCACTTTTATCCATAGTGATCAAAATAGAATCAGGCAAGTTTTAATAAATTTAATAGGAAATGCATTAAAATTTACTAAGTAGGGTTCAATAACTATAATAGTGAAAAAAAAACTTGTAAATAAAATTCTAGTACAAGTAAAAGATACTGGAATAGGAATTTAAGAAAAAGATCAACAAAAATTGTTTTATGCATTTGGAAAAATAAATGGAGAGGAAGAAAATTTATTAAATCCGAAAGGAGTTGGACTTGGTTTAATGATTTCTCATATGTTGGCCAAAATTTTGGGAGGTGAAGAAGGATTACATGTAGAATCTGAATACGGGAAAGGATCTTGTTTTTAATTTATGGTTATGAATTAAATAGAAAAATAACAAGAAGTTGATAAAATAATTTAAAATAATAAATTTACTTTTTAAAGAAATAAATATAGTTTATCTTCTGATTAATTAAATTTATTAAATAAAAAGGACCAAAGATTTTTTGTAAAGAATGTTCTTAAATAAATATTAATTAAGATGAAAGTAATGCTATTAATTCTGATGGAAATATAATCTAAAAGTAAATTATTTATGAAGAAGATTAAATTGAAGGGGCTTAAAATATATTAATTATAGATGATAATTAATTTAATATACTCGTTTTAAAAGCTAGAATTTAGAATATTACAAAAGCTCAAATTTAAACTGCTTTAAGTGGAAAGGATGCTATGAAAATTGTTAAGCAAAAATATGAGAAATTAGATTAATATTTTTAGTTGATTTTTCTTGATTTAAGTATGCCAGATATTGATGGGTATTAAACTTTTAATTTATTAAAACAATTTTATAATGAGAAGAAATTATTTTAATATGTAAATGTAGTCGCCTGTAGTGGGTATTAAGATTGTAAAGAATAAAATAAAGCAATGAAAGTTGGAATGACTGATTATTTAACAAAACCTATTGATAAAGTTAAATTATAATAAATTTTATCTAAATATTTATGATTTTTAACAAAAAATTATTCATATAAACAATATGTATTTTTATTTTATTTTATTTTATTATATATTTATTTTGTTAAAGTATATTAAGAATTTAAATTTTAGTTAAAATTTATATAATAAATAATTATAATTAAATTTTTTGTTTTTTTATACATAATATTAACTTTAATCTTAATAAATAAAATAAAAGTATTAAAAAACAACTGTCAAAAAAAATAAAATGCATATTAGTTCCTAAATATCGTTAAATGGAAGTACAATGAGAATGTTAAACATTAACTCTCCATAAACGTAAGAAAGCAAGATAATAGCTTAAATATTTTATTGTACAATAGCTGCAGAAAGTTGGATTGAGCGAGAAAGAATAAATCTTTACCATAACAAAAACTTTTACACTGAATAATTATTCAATTACTTAAAGAACTTCACCCAAAATTGGCAAAAATAGCAAAAAAAAAATCAGTTTTTTTTTGACTTTTCACAACCCTAAGATGTTATTAAATATAACTAAATAGACAGTTATAAAAGTGGTATAATACCTTATCCAGAAATAATTAAACTCCTAGAATTAAAAAACATATAATGTACAGACAAAATCCTTGAAGCAATTGCTAAATACTATAATTAACCACATGGCCTGTTAGGGTTTTCTTACCAAACATTTTTTTCCCTTTTAACTCCTTAAACTATCCCAGTAGTAAAAACACGAAAAATAATATATGAAAATGAGTAAAACTAAGCCAAAATAACCAAAGAAATTTTAGAATCTTTCTTATTTATTTTAGATTTGGAAAGAGATTTGATTACTTTTTCAGAAAAAATAAAAATTTAATTACATAATATTCCTTCTTTTGATATACTTTAGACTTTTGAACAAATAGATATTGAAAGAAAAGGTTATATAGACTTCAATGTTATATAAAGTTTTTTAAAAACACACAATATGTTATTTATTCCAGGCGAATATTTAGGACTTTTAAGAAGAATGAAAAAACCAGAAACTGTCGAAACTATATCTTTTTAAGATTATAAAGAATTTCTTTAGCCATATTTTCCCTTTTTTAAATCTACAGATAAATCTTTTATAAATTAACAATAATAATACTTCGAAGTTAATAAATAAACTTCAAATAATTAAATATAATCTAACAATTATAAGCCAAATTTAATATTTTTTAAGGATAGATAAGGCAGGATTATATAAAAAAATCATCCAAATGAAAATTACTAATAATAAAACTAACCTGAAATTAGAGATATTCTTAAAACTTAGCATTTAGTAGTTTAAAATAATAAAAACGACACTACTTATACACTTGTATAAACTGATAATTAACAATAAAAGTAAATATAAGCTAATTAAATAAACGCAAAAAAAGAGTAGCTTACATATTCTTTACCTTAATAAAAACCTAAAGATTTAAGTGGAATAGATTCTTTCTGGAAAGTGAAAAATCCTCAAAAAAATTATTAAAGTGTTATGAATATGAATAATACTTAATAATAATTTCCTTAGAATAATATTCATTAATCCAATTTATACTTAAATTATAATACATAAGGAAAATAATGTGTTGATTTATCTAGAATAAAAGACCCACAAGCTATCGAACTTATTTAATAATAATAATAAATTATTAATTAATTGACTCGAAATTAAACATAAGCTTAACGTTTTTTACATAATTAAAATTTTAATAATATTATGCTTGATTAAAATTTAATTAGTTAAAGTTAAAATTAATAACTTTTACCTAATTCAAATATTTTTTAAAGTTAATAAGTTTAAAATATATAACCTTATTAAAATATAGTTCAAAGTATTTAACCTAATGGAATATTCTTTTAAAATTAAAATAATAATTAAGTTTATAATTCTGAGAATGTATAAAGTATTGTTTATCCTTCTTAATTTAGCTATACTGGATAAAATATGTAATATTCAAATAATATTTAGATAAGTACACATTAAAAAAAAAAAATATTTGAACAAAATGAACTTAATCATGTATAATTTAAAATATGAAAATAAATTATTTAATTAAATACATACATATATATATTTTTAATTAAAAAAGATAAAATACATATAAGTATCAAATTTTTTATTTTTATAAAAAAAAATTAATTAAATAAAAAATTTGTTATTTTAAAAAAATAAATAAATAAAACTATATTCATACAAAGATAAAAAAAAATACAAAAATATGTAATACATTAGAAATTTCCAATAATATTTCTTAAAAAGCCACTTATTAAGCCACAAATAAAAAGCTTTTTTATTTGCCAAAAAGGCTCCTTAAACAATAGCAGGTTTAACTCTTTTTTTTACTTATAATAAAAACACACATTATTCTAAAATTAACCTATTTAATGTTTTTTTAACCCTTTTACATCTAGTACTTACTAAAAAAACTAAATCTAAAGCAGAATAGCCTCCACTGAATATAATGCAAACGATCCTATTGAAGATAGACATGATTTTAGATAATTAACAAGTATAAAAGCATTCGCTTGTGCAGTTTATGACGGACATGGAGGATGGGAAGCTTCTGAATATATTAAAGCCTTATTATTATCAGAAGTAGATTTTTAATTAGATCTTTTGAAAAAAAAAAATTTCAAAAATGAAGATGAATATATAACAACGGCATTAAAAAATGCATTTGATTAAATTGAATCATAATTCTTAGAAATAGCAAAAGAAAAAAGTAAATAAAAAAAAAATTAAGAATTAAAATATAATTTAATATTTAAAAAAAAAAAAAAAGAGATACCAAAACCTGGCCGTGTAGGAAGTTGTGCTCTTGTGACCATAATAAAAAATAATAAAGTATATACAGCCAACGTTGGAGATTGTAAGGGAGTAATTGTTAGTTAAAACGATAAAAAAGAATGGGTTGCTAGAAAAATTAACCACAAGCTAAATGCAAATTCTCCAAAAGAGCAAGAAAGATTAAGAAAATAATTTCCTAATGATAAAGATATTGTAGTATGTAAAAAAAAAGTAGAAGGCGCTTGCTATGTGAAAGGAATGTTAATGCCAACAAGAGCTTTTGGTGACTTTAGGCTTAAATATAAGGAGTTTTATACAAAAGACGATACTTTTAAAGGACCATATATTACACATTAACCTGATATTTAAATTCATGAAATTAATAAAAATGATAAATATATTATTATGGCTTCCGATGGTTTATGGGATGAAATGAAAAAAGTTAATATTGCGAAAATTACAGGAGATAATTATAAAGATAAAATTAGTATAGTGCAGGAGTTGTTTAATTATGCATTTAGAAATGCAGCTAAAAATGCAAAACTTACTGAAAAGGAACTTGGGTTAGTTGAACCTGGAAAAAGAAGAAATTTACATGATGATATTACTATAATATGTATTGATTTAACTAATTAATATGCTTCTTCTTGAAAATCAAATATATATATTTTATTTTAATATATTTTTATTTAAATCAAATACTATTTTTTATAATGTAATATTAACAATTAAAACATTTATTTATTCAATAAATAATTGTATTTTACAATTAAACAACATATATAATATTTGAATTTTTAATGAATATAAATAAATTATATTGTATATCTTTTTTTTTTTTTTTTAATAAAAAAATATTTTAAATATAAATTGAACTTTTAAATAGAAAAAATTAAAGTCTTAATTTATATCTTCTTATAAATACAACTTTATAAAAATATATATAAAGAAATTTGAAATTAAATAAATAACAATAAATAATTATTATTAAAATCAAATCATATTTACAACAACAACAAAAAGCCCAGAAATGAAAATAAATAAAGGCAAATATATAATAGTATAAAATACTTTATAAAAAATATTAAAATAAAAATCATTTATAAAAATAATAAACATGGATTTGAAGCATATATGATGGTATAATAAATTAAATAACAAATAAATAATATTTATTGCTTAATAATAATAATATTTTTAATTTTTTATAAGAATAAAAAACTAAAGGCACAAAATCCTAAATTTTATGAAAAAGCAGAAAAAACTAATAATTAATAATGTAATATTATAAAATGCATAAGATTAAATATAAAAAATGAAGATTCTAATATATATATTATTTATAATATTATTTAAAAAAGAATTATTTTAAAAAAATAAAAATAATAAAATACAATAATATATTATTAATAATAAAAACTATTATAAAGAAATATTAAATAAAAATAATTCATATATATATATATATATGAATATATATATATATATATATATATATATTTATATATATATATTAATTCAATAATAATAATGTATATATATTTTTTTTTTAATTTTATTAGCAATAAATTATAAAAGTACAAAATTTCAATTAAAGTTTATTTTCTTAATATTAATTAAATACCAAATAACTACTTTAAATTTTGCTTTTAATTTTATATTAAAAAATTAAAATATTATGTCCTTAATAAAAAAAAATTATTTTATTTTTTATTACGAATTTTTTTGTTTCTTAATAAATCTAAAAAAAAGGTCATTATATATTTTTACTGACTTTTTTTTATTTATGTTTTTATAATAATTAATCAAAAAATCATAATTACATTTTAACATTTATTTATTTAAAAAAAACTATAAAAAAAAAACAATAGACAAAAAAACAATAGACAAAAAAAACAATAGACAAAAAAACACTAGCAAAATGAATTATGGTAAGTTTTTTTAAATAAATTTTCAAAAAAATTACAGTAATTATATAAAAAAACTTATATTATACTAAGAAATATAGTTATTAAGACATAATAAAATATAAAGAAATCAAATAAAAATACGATTTCGAATTTCAACTTAATAAATTTAAATTAAAATTGAATAATATAAAAATTTATTTATTTTGATATTGCATTAATATTTTATTAATTATACTTTTTTTTTATTAAAGCTATAAAATATAATAATTAAAATTTAACTTGATTAAATTATTTTTCGAATAAATAATAATTAAATTTATGAAATATTAATTGAATTGTCTTCTTTATTTAACTAAAAATTAATTAATTAATTTGTTAATTATTAAATTTTATATATATTTTTTTATAATTATTATTTAAAATTAAAGATATTTAATATATTTAAAATCAAATTCATTTGTTTTTAAAAATTAAATATATTTTTCTTTTATTTTATAAAATATATATATTATACAATTTATTATTAAAATCATTATAAATTATAATTAGTTTTTGATTTTATATCTAAAATTTCATCATTTGAAACAAAGCTAATATTAATATGTTGATTTTTTTTCTTTTCTTCAATTACTTGTTTTTAAGGCTATTAAGTAAGATTTTTTTAAATTTAAGCTTATAAATCATGAATACTTGTTTTAGAAACTGGATTATTATTATATTCCTAATTTCTTATTTCTTAGCTTATATTTATATCATTTATTAAGTAATTACTATTTTCAGTAAATTTAATATTAATATCATTTAAATAATGTCCTTAATCATTTTAATCTTATTAAGAAATATCTTAAAATTTCATTGAATTTCGATAATATTCGGTTTCATTAGAAATACTTCTAATTTCTTTGTATTCTTTTCTAAAAGGTTAATATCCACATCCACCTAATTAATCATATTTAAGTATTGTTTTTCTAGAAAACGAAAACTATGAAATTTTATTTAGCTATTCATATACGTATTTTAAATATTATTTGCATGTTTTTAAATCATTTAATTCTCTAGATTTGAACAGATTTAACTTTTTGTTTTCTTTTGTATTATCGTTTGAATTACTTAATATATTTTAGTGCTTTTTTGGTATTTAACTTAAATTTATAGAAACCTTTTATCTTAAATTTAATGTAGGGATTTTTTACAATTTTTTTTTTTAATAAGTTTTCTGATATTCACTAAAATAATTTATTTCTTATTATATTTTTTCTATTTGTTGTTAATGGATTAAATTTGAATTAATTAAAATTTAATTTGTTTATAATAACTATTAATTATAATCTTGTAATTATTTTAGTTAATCAGATAAAATAGTATCATTAATTTATTCTCTTAAATATATTTTCTTTTCTTTTCGGTCTATTCTATTGTTTTCTTCTTCTATTAATATTTAAATATATATATATATGTAAAATAAATATTTAAATCAAATAATTTAATATTTATATAAATAAAATAATTATATATATATATATATATATATATTTTTTAAATATAATATTTTTTTATTAATTTTTAATATTTTATTTTTATTTTTTCTACATTTTCTAATGTTATAGATGCATTAGGATTACTTTTTTTCTTTTTTTTCTTTTATGCAATAATAATAAAATAATTTAATATTTATATTATTATTATTATTATTTACTTTTTTCATAATTTCTTATAATCTTAAGATTAATTTTTTATTTAAATATTAAGGATAAATATATTTATTTTCATCTTTTATTAATTCTTTCGACTCTTAAATTTATTTTAATCATAAATTAAAAATAAAGAATTTTTACTTTTAAAAGCATGTAAATTACATAAATTTTATGATGACGCTTTTAGCTTGATAAACTCAAATTTAAGATTCTATTATATTTTAAATTTTAATAATTTTTTTATATATTATTTATAATTAAAGAAATATTTTAATTTATAATAATTACTTTGTTTTCATAAAGTTTTTGTTTATTTTACTATTATAAGTACAATTATTATTTATTTATTAATTTATAAATTAAGCTATATAAATCCATTATATTTTAGAGTTTAATCATTTATTCATTTAAAGTATGAATCTTGATTTAAAAATTATTTTAAAATTTTATTATTTTATATAAAAATATTACTTCTCTATATTTGATAAGAGATCCATCCTTTTAATGTTTTGTACTTGTTTTTTCAAACTCTTACACTGTATATTCTTTATCCTAAACTAACCTTCTTAATTCTTATAATTTATCATCATAATCTTGAAGAACATCCTATTAAAAACCCTCTTCCTCTTCAGATATTTATTAATTGATCAGAGCCTTTTTTAAATAATTTATTCAATTTTTAAACATTTAAAAATTTTTAATATTTTTAAAAATATAATAAATAAAAAAAAAGAAAAATAATAATAGTTTTATATAAAATAACTATGCTTTAGGCATTTTTTCTTTATTAATTCATTATTTTAAGCATTTCAATAAGTTCTTTATTTTCTTTTATAAATTATATTAATAGTTGATCTTTATCTTAATTTAAATATTAAGGAGGAAGTTACATAACATCGAAATTTTATAAATTTTCAATTTATTTCATATTAAATAATTCCAAACACATTTATTTTAATTTTAAAACATTTTATAATTATGATGTCAACTCTTTAAACTACTTAATTTCGTGCTATAAAAACTAGATCTTAACTAAATTTCTATTTTATGTGTGCTCATTAATATCACTTTTTAAAATTGAATTCATTTTTTTTTTAAATTTATATATATATAAAAAAATTAAATAATTGATAAATTTATTTCATTAAAAAAAGTCTATTTTATTAATTAAATTAAATTAAATTAAATTAAATTAAATGAAAAAAATAAATAAAATTTATGAATTAAATTATTTTATAAAAATTTAAATATTTTTTTTTTTTTATAATATAATTATAATAAATAATATTTTATCTATATATAATGTGTAAATTAAATTAAAAATATTTTTTTATATAAATAATTAAAAACAAATTTTTATATTTATAATTTTTATTAATCAAGCATTCTTAAATTACTAATAAATTATAATAAAAAATTTATATATATAAGCATGTAAAAAAAAAAAAAAAATTAAATGTATAAAAATAATATTATATCAAAAAAAATGTATTTAACAAAACAGATTTTGATTAAAATTAATTATAACTATTATTTTAGAAATTCGATTAATGTATATAATTTATCTATGATTATAATTTAAATTTTAAATATATATATATTTTTAATAGAAATGTATATATAAATATATATAAATAAATTCATATTCATATATATATATATATATATATATATTTTTAATTTATATATATATATAAATTATATATTATTTTATTTATTTGGAAACTATTTTGTTTAATATATTTTTTTATATTATTTATAATTCATCCAATAAAATATGATAATTTTAATAAAATATAAAATTAATATATTGTGAAAATAAATTATATAATTATATTTTTTTAAAAAAAATAAAATTAAATATTATAAATAAAAATTAAATAATATCAAATAAAAAAAATATTTATTTAAAATATGTATTAGCTATTTGTATTTACTTATTTATTTTTAGTCTATCTTTAATTTACTTATTCTTAATTTAATTTCTAAGAATCTTAATTAAATTTTGTATCTATGTTTATAATTAACGGATTTCCTAATTCTAAGTATTAAGATTATTTATCAAATTCAGGAATGTTTTAATAA